TTGAATTCTAATGTCTCAGAGCACTTTAGCTTCATTTTCTATTACTTTGTCTGTTTTGTGGTCCCACCAGTTCTTGCCTGCAGGCAAATGTTTGCTACTTTGTCATGCCATTGTTTGTAGTCAGTCTATGCAATCTTCTTGCAGCACCTAACTAGGTGGTCCACTGTTATTTTATTATTATTACTTTAAACTTCCTGCTTGGTCTCTGTTATTTTTGTTGCAGTTCACTGCCAAAGCTACTTGAAGAGAACATTCCAAGAGGCAATTTAAAACATAGTTTTCATCTTCCAGTGGCATCTGGGAGAACATCTGGATGTGCAAAATTCCATATCTACTCCAATGGATTTCCCAAAACGTCTGCTGTATATCTTAGAAAGGGAGTTGAGGAATAGCAGTTGTATAGGAGTATGTGAGTATCCTTGCCCAAGGTCTACTTACTACCTTTTTTGCCAGATCTTCCAATTTATTAGCCAAGGCATTCAGGTCTTGTTTGGTCAGATTCTGGTCAAGCTACAGAAAAAGGAGAAAAAGAGAGCACAGAGGTCAAGCAAGCAAAAGACACTCAAGTGAATTAAATATGGAATTCAGGGCAGATTAACTTTTGAATACTTCTGCATATTTTTCCAGTTAATACTCATGTTTTAATATAATACATGTTATTGTTTTTCCTCATCCCACCTCATCCCTCTTTTCTGCTCAACTGTTATCGGAGATTTTTCTGAGTGCCTCCACTAGCAAAGGTTAGATGATTTGCTTTTGGAAACATAGGCATTTCTGTGGCTGTTTTCTGACAGCAGAGCACCCCACCAAGTTTTCTTATTACCCTTTAAGGACTAGGCAAAGTCTGCCCTCTTCACAAGTGTTTAGTAGGCAAACTGATCAATGGGGCTGGCCTTTGCTGATCACTGCTTAATTATTCATTGCAGTTGCTATTATTTATAAAGAATGACATGTTTTTATTGCACTATTACAGAACAATGCCACATTTTTGTTATGCTATAATGAGATGTTAATCTATCTTAAATGCCAACTATAGCAGCAGAGATACACGTTTTTAAGAAATAAATTATTTTAAAAATCCACACAAAACTTTAAAACTACATAATCCAAACTCTCTCTCAGCTACTGTTTTGCTATAAATGCTAACACTGGTATTGAGGCCACCTTAGGGTTCTCCAAACAAAATGACAACTGATCAGCTGCCAATAAGCTACTATGACAACATCAACTCAGAATCCTTCCAGTGGAAGGATTCAACAACAATCTTCTGTTGCTGGGGAACAGCAATATGTGTCCCAGCAAATGTGAACATCACATATTCTCAAACAGATGCAGAAGAGTACCTGGTCCTCATAGAGCAGGGTTCTCTATGGGAAGGATTCTGGGAATCCCAGGGTTCTGGGAAGGAAATTATCTTATGATAAAGTTTTTCTCTCTTCCACAGTCTTTTCCTTATTTCCCATCTTACTTGTTTAAGAGTACTGTTAAAATCCATATCTAGAGGCCCATCTTCTGAACTCAGTTTCAGCATGCTGCGTTTCTGTTCATCATCCAGAAGATCAATAGACCCAATACTGACATTTATTTTATCCAAGGTTGAATTAATGTCTCGAGTGTACTAGAGGGACAACAGAAATGCAAGATGAATAAATGCAGAGCACAACATCATTTGTTCTGCAGTACATCCCCTAGAACTGTCCAGGGGGCTGCAATTATGCCCCATACCTATATGCTTAAACTATTCCAAGTGAAAACCCTAAGCTGTTATCTGGGAGCAAAAGGTTAACTGGTGATGGCATTTCTCTGTCACTGGATTGATTCATTATAGGCAACCATCATTGACCTTGCTGATGTTGAAGGTATCATCCAGGGAGATGATCTCATCTAGGTGAAAGGTATTCCACAAGGGTGCATTTTCTTCACAGTTCCTTTAAAAGAAGAAAACTTGAGTTAAGAGGCCAGGATACATAATACTATATCAAGAATAAATTGGAAGAGCATCACCCCATAGACCAAGCTCTCCAGTCCTACACATTAGCTTTCTCCCCGCCCACGGGGTCCATAGCTAGAAATAGCCTTACTATAGGAACATGCACATTATTCATTCCTATCACTTGCACACATCAATGAGTCTTCCTCTTTCCTTGCAAAGGAGCAGCTTTTGCTGTCATTGCCAGCAAAAATATGTAAATTATTTTTTACCTGCTCCACTGCAATTAAACAGAGCAACTTAGTCCTGTCACTTAGGGGATCTGCAAACTACCTAGGACCAACGGAGGTGGAGGGATGGGCTGGGCTGGGGCAAAAGGAGCATGTCCACTGGGAAGGGGAAACTGAAGGGACCTGCCAACCTCAGGTTAGGATGCTGTATGAGTGCCATAAGCACCAAGTTGCCAATCTTTGGCTTAGGAGAATGCTGTCTGGGTAGGACCTATGGAGAAAGCACATAATTTGCACAGGGACCACATTCTGGGAACATGGCTCATACTGTATTCCAGCAAGCTTTTACCAATGTATAAATACTTTAGGCAGTGCAGTGCTTCCATGTATTTCATTAGAGGTTGACAAGCCACTATTTCCCCTCTTCTGTACAAGGTTTCCCTCTGCACATCCCTCACAATTTATTCCACGAGACCTGCAATATTTATGTGCCTTCAGATTCTCCTTCCCCTTAGAGAATCTGAGGACCAGTATCATGGCAGCCCAGCCAAGCAGCATGACACTCACTTGTATATGCTGGTCAGGTTTACATCAGAACCCTTCAGTTGCATGAGCTTTTTCACATTTAATTGAGGGAACAATCCAGGTGTGTCCAGAAACTAGAAAAAGATAAGTAGCACCTGATGAGATATTTTCTCTATTTTCTTAAAACAAAGTTTTCACTGTTTCCTCTAGCTGTATTTCTTCCTCTCCAGAAAGTGCAAGAGCTGACAGCCAGAGACTAAAATAACGACTTATGAGAGTTAGAAGAGGGGACTGCAGACAAAGATTGCAAATTAATATACCATTATTAATTCTATAACCATGAGTTAACCTTCCCTATGTCACAATATTTATGCATTTATTTTATTAGGCTTATATGCCACTCCAATTGTCAACCAACTCTGAGTGGCCCCTTGTCTTCTTATTCCCAACCATGAAGGGACGCCATAACATCTATGAGTACAATAACAGCCTAGGTGGCTTACCTGGAGGAGAATTCCATTGGCCCAAGGCCGGCAAACCAGTGTGTATGAATTGCCTCCGACTAAAAATAGCAGTAGAACCAGTAGCATCAGCAACCATGAAAATATAAAGCTGAATCCAACACTCCTGTCATGAAAGATGAGAAACAATCAGAAGTCTACAATTCAACTATTGATTTGGGTATGAAGAACAGCCCACAGATTCCTCTACGGTTGGGTCTTATATTCATGATGCCACTGCTGTGAAGATCTGTAAGGCAAGGCAGGAAAACAATGTGCCAAGGCAAACAGAGGACATTGATTTGCAACTTAGTAGTGTACCTTGCCATCAACAGTGGCGCTTAGAAACAGTGCAACTCTACCTTTTCCTGGTAGAAATCTGCTAACTACACAATAAGAAAACTCTCTGCAAAGTGGTTTCTCTATAGCAGCTAACATTACATAAAAATATCAGCAAATTCTGCTGGTGTCTTTGGCTATGGTCTGGAGGGATACAAAAAGGTTATTGTCAATTACTCCCCTACACTGAAACAGGAGAGAGTGAGTACAACATCTCTTACGCCATAAAGAAGTTTCCACCGGTGTTGGAGAGGCAGCCCCTTTTGGTAGGCATCTCATGTGGATCTAGCCCAAGACCACCAAGCAAAAGGCCCAACACATTGAATACAATTATTACAAGCAGCAGGCAGCAAAGGCAGAAGCCAACACCCCACCTGCAGTGAGAGAAATCAAACTAGTTAACTCAGATTCAAACAACAGTGAAGGAAGGAAAGAGGTGCAAACATACTCAGTTGGGTCAAATCAGTTCAGTTAGTTGAAACCAGGATCAGCGGGACTATGCTCTGTTAGCATGTACAACAGACTAGTTGTGGTCAAACAAAATGCTTACCAACCATCACTATAATTTTCTCAATTAACCCAATTTTCTCAGGTGCACAACACATTAAACCACAAAGTAACCACATGAGCCGGGTTTGCACAACATCTTAGGCTAAAATGTGGTTGAATCATTTGTAGCTCAGTGCATCATATGAACACGGGCACTAGAAATTAAAGGAAGTAATGAAAATAATGAGATCCAGTTCAAGCCCAGAAAATGAGGAATAGTAGAGCAATAGGAGGAAATAAACCCTGATCTAATGAACTAATAGGCCCTTAAACTTCTGCAAATTAGAAGTGCTAGCCATTCAAACAGCAATGCTAAAAACAGCACCTCAGAGATCTCTAGAGGCTTCGTTTTTCTTCTGAGCTGCACCACATTTCCTATAACTTGCCTTTTGCCTATTAAAAAGGAATGTGAATATCCATTTCATCTGACCTGTAAACTCAGCCCAAGGAATTCTGCAACATTTGAAAAGCTGAACAAAGTTTTACTCCTACCTGTAGCCATCATAATTGAACACAGCTGGCTGATATTCATTTGCCATCTTTACAGCATCATCCATGAGCCCAGAGATATTCTTCAGTGAGTCCAGCATGTTAAAGTTACTACTGATTGCATTAATTTCCGTCTTGACATGGTAAAGTTGAGCCTGCATCTCTTTAAGAATCAGAGCCAACACAGATAAACCATTATACTATGTGCATTATCATGGACCACCTAAATCATAGCAGCCATCATCCAAGGGCTGTGGATATGTTAAGCTCTCCAATTTGCACTCTATGCAGATACAATTCACACTGCATCTCAATCTAAGTGATGCAGTTCAATTCTTATATTACCTAAGAGGCATCTTTTACAAAGCAAAAAACCACAGACAAAGGTGGCTGCAAATTCTAGGAATGAAAATTCCTTTCTTTTTGAGGGATCAGATCCCATTAAGTGAGATAAACTGAAGTCGGTGTTCTAGGAGCAGATAAATAGTTCCACATGGGAAGAATGAGTAGAATAATTCAAGAAACTAGATATGTTTGACCAAAGAGGCTGAAAAATTACGAATCCTGAAAAGCATAGGAATCTGCCTAATACTGCATCAGATGTTGATCTTAGTATTATCTACACTGTCTCTGTTCATATAAAACCCCAAGATTTTCAACCATGGTTAATTAAGCAAGCCATAATGGGCTGATTCACATGTAGCTAGGTTGAATGGATGGGTTTACATGGTAAAAAAAAAAAAGAGCAAATTGACTAGACCGTGCAAATCTTCAAAAGGACACTTCACTTTGATAAAAATTCAAATGAAGTACTCTCAAAACTATGACTAAAGAGAACTGATCATTTGCTTCACACTGCTCTGCTTTTCAACCATCTCTCAATATCCTCTGGCACTTAGAAAAATCAAGAGGCACCTGCATAGAAGTCTGTCACACCTTCTCTATGCAGAGCTGGCTGAGAGTCTCCTTGCAGCCTTCTTCTACAGCATGATAGATAGTCTCCTCCACCTCTAACCAAAGTTGGAAAAGGCTTCTACGCAGGTACAGCCCCACACTGAAGCCTTTCTTAACTTGCACAGATGACAGAGATAGGAAACTTGGAGATTACATCAGTTGAGGCTAATTTTGTTGCTCTCTTGCTCCAATGAGGAGAACATACTGCATCCACAATGTGAAGGTCTTCAGAGTGGCAAATAAAAGTCACCTCACATAGGACTATAAGCCACCATATGAGTTAATACAATAAGCAAGCTGGCTACTAATGGGCAGCAACTCTTCAGACTTTCTGCTAAGGGATCTCTCCAGTCCTACCTGAAGAAGCCAGAGACAACTTGGGCTTTTTTGCATGCAAAAAGGGTGCCTTGCCAGCATGTTTGGTATCTATGGGTACTGATTACTTAAAACGTTTACACAGTACTGAGCATGGTGTTCATCCCAACAGAGGAAACATCACTAGGCAAAATATTTTGACACTTGCCAAAATCCTTTGGAGACATCCTACCCTTTGAGGCATATTTGGTGGGAACCCAAGAAGGGACATCTTCTGCAGGCGCTAGAGCCCCCTATCAGAGATGCCAGGCTTCCTTCTAACAGGAAGCCAATGTATATTTTTATTCAGACAGGCTCTTGGCTGTACCACAGACCTGTTTCATATATAGAGAGAGAACTATAAAGATACATAATAGATATGTTTATAACTATGTTGTCAGTTTTCATTTTCATTAGACTTTCAGTCTGTATTTTATTGTTGTTAATAACCACAGCTTTAGTTACTATTTGTAGCGCCTTTAAACATTGTCATTAATTGTCTTAAAGAGTTGGCAGGAATGCTTATCAAATATCAAGGTGACATAAAACTGGGTGGATAGCTAATACTGTAGGATAGGGGTTCCCAGCTTGGGCTAAAACTCAGGACAGTGTTTCCAGGTGTCTGACTTTCAACTCCCAGAATTCCCCAGCTAGCATGAGAATGCCAGAAGTTAAAGTCTGCACATCAGAAATTGTCCAGGTTGGAAAATACTGCTCTAGAAGATTAAAACCGAATACAAAATAATATTGGTAGGTCATAGAAATGGGCTGAAAAGCACAGAAGAAAATGTAATAATGACAAATGGAAAGATCTTCACTTAGGGGGGGAAAAAAATGTCCAGGTAGAGCATGGGAGTATATCTGGCTTAGTAACCCTAATTCTGAAAAAGGAATTGGCAGCTGAAAATATGGCTGCTCAAAAGGCAAATGCAGTTTTATACCGTGTCAATAGATCTTAATTTACCTAATCATGAGAAATAATTACTTCCTACTCTGAGTACTGTGTCCAGTTCTGGGCACCATGCTTTAATAGGGTTTCAAAGCAACAGGTGAAGAAGAGCAACAAGGGGACTAAAAGGTAACTCTTATTAAAAAAAAAAAAAGAAGTCTGAGGCAATTGGTATGTTTGGACCTGAGCTTTCGAAGGGGGAATATAATAGCACTTTTCAAGTAAATGAAGAGGTGCCGTACAGAAGAAGTCAGGACCTGTTCTCTATCATTAAGATGGAATAATGGTCTGAAGTAACAGGAAGAGAGATTCCAATGGAATGTTAGAAAAAACTTCCAAAGGTAAGAACAGTTTGACAGTGGAACCAAATACATGGGATTTGGTTAACTTTCCTTCAGGGGATGTAGTCTGGCATTATTTTGAACTGCTGCACTGAGGAAGGGATTAACTCATTTACCTAAAGGTTCCCTTCTAATTCTGACTCTAGTGGAAAGGTGGGATATAAATGTAATGCCTAAATTGCCAATTAATTAATTACATTTAATATGCATATGTGAGGAGGAAAGTAGAAACCTTTCTTTTGGAAAAATGGGAATATTGGAAAACTGCATATAGCTGAAGTGGGTATGCTTGTAGGGTATCCATAAGTGAGGGAGGGTCATGTAGGATCTTTTGTTATAAATGCACCCCTCCCCATACCATTATGCCAATCTTGTGTATAATTTCTTACACATACATGTCTTTGGAAACCACAACATGCAGCTGTTTAATGCTTGAAATGAAGAAGAGATTCTGTGATGGGGTTACTTACCAGACACCTCCTTTTTGGTTTGATTAGAGACTTTCTGTGGTATTTCTTCCAGCGCATTTCTTGCCTACAAGCAAAGGAACCCAAGATATAGACAGACACAGATGAAGACACGGACATATAAAGCCCAGATCTCAAAATGTAAGCTAAGTACAACATGAACAAAAGACAAAGCCCTGAGAGGATACTGTGGAAGAGCAGGCTGCTAGCAAAATTGTAGGCCCCTGTGCTGCCTCCCTCCCCTCCTATTTGAGCCTTCTCCCCAACGTCAGCATGGCAGAGTTGCTTACAAAAGCTGCAACCTTGAAACAGGTGAGGGAGGAGATGTGTGTGTTTTGGAAGCAGCAGCAGATGAAGACAGAGAAAAGCAGCCAAATAAAAGAAGGCATTTTTCCTTCACAGAGACTGGATGGCCCAAAGGAAAAGAAGTATAGAGGCAGAGCAAGGAAAAGTGCAAGTATAAAAGCCCCATGTGGAAAATTGCAAGTACTCTCCATGCTGGCCAGTAACAGAGAAGAAAAAAGCAGAAGAAATTCCAGAGAGAGGAATTAAGGCAGAATAGTGTTTGCAAGAAGAAAACATCGTTATAGAATAGTTCTACAATATAGTACAGAGGAAATATTGTAATAGTAATTGAATAGTAATAGAGTATAGTAATTGTTATGGTTATAGTAATAGTAATTAGCATAGTAATATAGAAATAATGGGAATAGAATATAGGATAGAGGCAATAGAAAACACTCATATATAGACTTGTAAGTTTCATATTTCACTTTTGTATCTTGGATAGATTTTTTTCAAAATAAAACATCTCCCCAACCCTTATAGGGAGATATAAAAATCCAAGTGTCTAGGGTCCAGTGCTTTTGGTGGACCTTTCAAGTCTGAGCCAATCAAATTGGGTACAGTTTAAAAAGAACCCATCACAGATACATTTGCTATTTCCCCAAATCACCAGACTTAATCACTTTAGAGGACACAGGACAGGTCTCATGCAAACAGGGTTCAGAGGTCCATGAACCCAGTGGCTCCAAACAATGAATCGTTGTAGTGATTGTTGTAGTGACCATTTTGTTCCTGTTGCTCAACCTCTCGCAGACAACCCATTCTGGCACACTGGCACTTGGATTGGATATTTGAAAAAAGAATTGGAGAAGAAAAGGAGGGTGTTACCTGTATGATAGTGCTGTTGGGATCTGACATTGTCAGATCAGATATCCGACGAAGTGGATGATTGACATCAGGAATCTGTGGAAACAAATAATGCAGAAATGTACCTTTTTATTGTTTGATCAACTCCAATTAAGCAATAGAAAATGCACCGTGTTTCGAGTGGGATGAAGTAAAAACACATGAAGCAAGAGCTGGCACACATAGAAATGTTTGCATACTTATGGATGACTAGGAACTAACAGACGCAGAGCTAGACATCTTGAAAACATACTCCCACATCATAACCAATCCTCTATTCTGTTAAAATTGGGGCACATTTTGCTTCATGGCCTCTGATTTCAGCCTCCCATGGTGTCAACTATCTCAGCAATCTCATCCCAACTATTCTATGCTCCCTTACCCTTTTAAAATGTATCATGAATTGCATTTCTATGCCACCCAACACCCTGGGTGATTCACCATACCCCCACCCCAATTAAGTCTCTTCCCATGCCTTCAAATAATCCACCCTGCCTATCCAAATAGTTCTTTCTCTTCCAAACCCCACTCTACCGTATTAAAATTGGCCCCAGGCGTCAGGTTCTCTATGGACACATTCCGGCATGGGCCACCACAATGATTCAGAGTGTCATTGATCTCGGTTCTCAGGCGGGTCAGGTTTTTGTCCAGCTCCTTTTGCATTTCCTGCAAGCGAACGCCAGTCTGGTTGACCTTTTGGAGTTCCTTTTCTATACTGTGAATGTCTATTAAAAAAAAAGTAAGAAGGACAGAGGGACAGACCGAGGATGAATTCCCCAACCTGCAGTATCCATTTAGTTCTTGATTGTAAAGGAATGTAGAGCTGATCTTGGGCAAAATACAGAAGCCATTTAGGAGGGACTTGGACATGAGTTTATATCATCAAGAATTAGAAGGAAGCATGAGAAAGAACTCAACCCCACTTTGGTTTTGTTCGGTATAAGATGAGACAGAGGGAAATTTGAACAGGCTTTCAAGATTCTGTTATTATATCCTACAACAATAAATGACATTCCTGGAATCCCTTTGATGTCTGTTTCTTGACCTGGCCTACCTCAAAGGGCTGGCACTGATTTGTCCACAGGGAATTACTCCTCAAACGTACAAAACATAATGAAAGAGAAGTCAGTCAATAGGTCTCCAGCAGTTCCCCAGTCTTTGGGTTCCCATTTTTTTTACTCTGGAGAGAAAAAGAACTTTCTTTCTTGTCATGGCATCTCTTATTGTGAAGTTGGCAAGTCACTTGCCTCTGGAACTATAATGAAGTCTTGGTTTTCTTATGAGGACATTCCTTAAAAGTGCCTCCAACTTCTGGGTTGCCCTGTACTACCAAAATACAGACAGAGCTTCTGGGCTTCCACTCTACTGTTAGATCCCCATATCATTTCCCAAACCAGTTTCCCTTGCAATACCTTGGAGAAGCTGCTCAGCTATGCCTAGCGTTTTGTCTACTGGTCCACCTAGCTGCTCCTTGATCTTGTTCCCCAAGATAGTATCAATATCTGCAAAGAAAGAAAAGCATCAACACGAAGTCACTAACACTAACTTTTTTCATTGTCCTTTGCTTTGATTTATCCATAATAACTGTGGTTCGGCTGATTGGTTCACAATACTTGCAAAAAGCCAAAATGTTGTTAGAGAACAAAGAAACTTACATCCCACTTAACACCAACCCGATACAGAAACTAGACAACCTAATCAAGAGAACCCTCAGTGACCTAACCAAGAAAGGCCAGATCACAAAAGAAGAACAGTGGCAGATGAAAAGCAGTAGACCCATCGTCCCATGTTTCTATGGACAACCAAAAATACACAAGCCTGACATACCGCTCCGACCAATTATATCTTTACCAGGGACTCCAACATACAACATAGAGAAAAAACTGACAAAAAATCTTGGACATCTCACAGAGAAGAGCGAATATTCTACTGTCAGGACTCATATCAGAGATTGTAATGCAACGCCTAGAAACTATAGCACTTCCACACATACAACCTAAAGTATG